ATTTCTGGCCAAACATATCAAGAGATGCGGAGGAGTTCTCTCGAAGGTGCGATAAATGCCAACGATATGGACCATTGATCCACCAACCACCTGAGGAATTGCACGTAATGGCCTCGCCATGGCCTTTCGCGCAATGGGGGATGGATGTGGTCGGTCCTCTGCCAATTGCAAGAGCTCAGAACAAGTATGTGTTACTGGCCACGGATTACTTCACTAAGTGGGTGGAAGCAGAACCATATCCTAGCGTGACTCAGACTCATGTGAGACGATTTATTTGGAACAATATTATCTGCCGTTTCGGCGTTCCAAGATCAATAGTCATGGATAATGGCACGAACCTCGACAGCAGGCAAGTAAGAGAGCTGCTGGAGGAGTATGGAATCAACCAGAAGTTGGCTGCAGTAAGCCATCCTCAGGCCAACGGACAAGCAGAAATCACAAACAGAACCATTTTCGCCTGCATTAAGAAGAAGCTGGAAGACCATAAAGGGAAGTGGTTGGATGAGCTCCCGAACGTCCTATGGGCTTACAGAACCACCCCAAGGCGGCCGACTGGGGAGAGCCCGTTTGCAATGGCATATGGTACCGAGGCAGTTATACCGGTTGAGCACTTGGTCCCCACTATCAGAAGCTTAGCATGGAGTCGAGATCAGAACGACAAGATGTTAAGATTGAACCTCGATATGATAGACGAAAGGAGGGACGCTGCAGCTATAAGGTTAGCATCATATCAACAAGTATTGGCGAATAGTCACAACAAAAGAGTGAAACACAGGGATTTTGCCCCTGGTGATCTGGTTCTGAAAAGAAAGGTGGGGATAGTCAAAAAAATGATGCCACCCTGGGAAGGCCCATACAGAATTGCAGAAGTCATAGGCAAGGGAGCATATACGTTGGAAACCATGGCGGGAAGGTTGGTCAGCAAGCCCTGGAACGCCACGTCTCTGAAGAGGTACTACCAATAAAAGCTAAGTTTCGGCTTTAATTGGATGTTGTTTGTTGTCAATCAAGTACGTATGAATGTGCAAATTACTGAAGTTTACAAAAATAACTTTCCTCTTCAATGGGTTGCTAAAAATTTAAAGCCAAGTGGCAAGTGGCATTCTAGCCGAGCGCCAGGCACTTAAGCAAGATAAGTGGCAGCTGGCACCATAAGCCGAACGCCAGACACTTGCTAAAAATTTAAAGCCAAGTGGCAAGTGGCATTCTAGCCGAGCGCCAGGCACTTAAGCAAGATAAGTGGCAGCTGGCACCATTAGCCGAACGCCAGACACTTGCTAAAAATTTAAAGCCAAGTGGCAAGTGGCTTTCTAGCCGAGCGCCAGGCACTTAAGCAAGATAAGTGGCAGCTGGCACCATAAGCCGAACGCCAGACACTTGCTAAAAATTTAAAGCCAAGTGGCAAGTGGCATTCTAACCGAGCGCCAGGCACTTAAGCAAGATAAGTGGCAGCTGGCACCACAAGCCGAACGCCAGACACTTGCTAAAAATTTAAAGCCAAGTGGCAAGTGGCATTCTAGCCGAGCGCCAGGCACTTAAGCAAGATAAGTGGCAGCTGGCACCATAAGCCGAACGCCAGACACTTGCTAAAAATTTAAAGCCAAGTGGCAAGTGGCATTCTAGCCGAGCGCCAGGCACTTAAGCAAGATAAGTGGAAGCTGGCACCACAAGCCGAACGCCAGACACTTGCTAAAAATTTAAAGCGAAGTGGCAAGTGGCATTCTAGCCGAGCGCCAGGCACTTAAGCAAGACAAGTGGCAGCTGGCACCATAAGCCGAACGCCAAGCATTTGCCATAAACAAGCACACGACAAAGTTAATATAAAAGAAAAGAGAGAAAAGGTATATATGTATTGAAAATAGGTTGAACAGAGCACAACACAAAGGAAAAAGGGAAAAAGAGTTCTGTCATTTCATTCCTAATAGGCATTGAGTTTACAAAAAATGAGATATTCAAGTCACATTGTTACAAAAAAGTATGGAATCGAAGAGTCCGGAGGAGTCCTAGCTAGCTGCCTCAGTACCGACAGCATCCTGGTTGTGCCGACCCGCCTCCTCGGTCCCATCAGCCGTCTCACCCTCACGAGGTGGGGAATCAAGATGAATGACAGAATCGTTCTGCTGGGGGTCAACGTCAGCAGTGGCTATGGGAGGTACCACAGTTGACGATTGAGGAGCGGTTAGAGGCAGAGCGGTAGGAGGAGCTGTAATGATCCTTGAGGAAGCAATGTCCTGGCACTCATCAAATATGCGCTCCGCTTCGGTGGGTTCTGGGTCAACATAGACCCCCAGAGGGTCGATCCCTAAATCCTTGTCGACCTCATCTGGAGTGGAGCTGGTCTGTCCCTCATCCGGAACTCGGTCGGAGAAACCTTCTCGGAATCCTTGAGCATATCTAAGAGCACCGACCCTTGAGAACCGAGCATGAAGAGCCAGCATCCCACCGTTCACTCTGCTGATTGCATCAATCAGAGCGGTACGCTCGTCTAGAGCTCTCTTCTCAAAAGCCATCCGAGCAGACTGTTCATCAGCCAGAAGGCGCTGGAGCTCTGCCTTTTCGTCTCTGATTGAATCACGCTCAGTCTGCCAGACGCTCTTTTCAAGCTGGAGGGCATCCTTCTCATCCTGAAGAGAGTCGTTCTCCTTCTTCAGGACATCTCTCTCTTGTTCAGTTTTTTCAAGCCGAGCCAGTACCTCGGTATTCTTGCTGGCGAGAAGGTCGTTTTCTTTATTGGCCACCTCCAGGCTATCAGAAAACTTACGAGCCCTGGCGTTCCCCATCTCTACCTGCTTCTGCATAGCCATCATTCCGAACAAAGTCTGCATAGATGTACATTAATAACGGTTAAGCCAATAGTCAGGTCGGGCGAAGGCAAGACCAAATAATATGAGAGAATTCATGAATTGAAAAATAAAAGTCACCTCCATGGCAGATTGGGGAAAGCGGCTGAACACATCCTTCTGGGATAGGCCTTTCGCCGCCTCAAGGTCTTTCGGAGTCCACATGCTCCTATAGTACGCCATGGCGGTCTGGCCATCCCTCAGCATGGTCTCGTTCGGTTTCACGAACGTCCCATCCGTTCGGGTGTACCGAGGGGCCCATGGTGGTAAGGTGGGAAGAGAAGGGGAGCCTGAAGCAGAAGCAGAGGCACCAGCTGCAATAGGCCCGGAGGGGGCAGGAGCTCTGACCGGGCGATGCAAGAGAGCACCCGGCCTGAAGACCCGGGTCCTTCTTATGAGAGGTTCCCCCTCAGGATCGACTCCACTGTCAGGATGAGGCCTTTTGCCTCGTTCTTTGTCCCGAGAGCCCCCCGCGGCAGCAGGGGCTGTGGTAATTTGGGGGGACGCGCTCGGGTTGGCAGCAGGGGTGCTGACAACAGAGTCAATAGCCACCGTGCTCGGGATAGTGTTAGAGATGGTGGCTGAGGAAGAGGCTGATGCTGGAGAGGAGGTTGCCCCAGCAGCAGGAGTGGCTGGGGGAGTATTTTTCTTCCTGCCAAAAGAAGGAATTTGAAGCCTGCTCATGTTGTAGCCGAGGGATGAGAGTGCTAGGAGGTTGTCTGAAGTGAGGAGGTCTGAGCAGGAAGGAATATCGTTCAGAACGTATTTCTTCAAGTAATTACTCCTATCCCTGCAAACACTGTAGCTCAAGTCATCACAAGGTATTCCTAAGGAACGGCATAAGAAAGTACAAAAGCGGGGAACGCATGTTTCGCAGGGGCAATCATGTTTGTGAGATTTGAATTTCTTATATGAGGAAACAGAACAGACGCCAAAGGCGCTCGGGATTGGGTAACCCTCTGCAGCCGGCGAAGACCAAGCCCCACTAATGCCCACGATGTTATCCCTCCAACCCTTTTCAGATTTTATTGTGTCCGTACATATGGACATCTTCTCGAACGGGTAGAGGTGGTAGAAGGGCTCGTTAGTTCGGATCTTACTGACCTTATAACACAGAAGAAGATCTATGAGGTCAAGGTCCAGATTTCTGTCACAAATCAACAGAAGCATAACGGATATGATTCTAAAGAAATTGGGGTTTACCTGCAGGGGGGATATCCCCAGTCTATTGAAGACATAACTAAAGAAGGGGTGCAGAGGGAACCTAACGACATTCAATTGAAAGTTCGTGAATAAAACTTCGCCGGGCAGGAGGCCGGCACCGGTCATAATATTAACATCCTTAGGGCAAACCCTAACTTCGATGTTGTCAGGAAGTCTAAGTCTCATACAAAGAACATCTAGATCTACAACCATGGTGGAAGTGTTTGAAGGATCTAAAAGGGGTAAAAAGAAGCCTGCCGAAAGTAAAAAGGAACAAAACTAACCTCTGAGGTAGAAAGCAACAAAGAGCACTGCAAGACCTCTGGAAGAACGACTCTTGAAGGATTTCACCGGAAAAAGCTTAGCGCTGTTCTAAAAAGAGAAAGATTTGACTGATGATGGAGACGGTAAAAAGGCATGGAGTGGCATTCTAGAGCCTTATAAAGGCGAGGGGGACCCGAGGGCCGAAGCGTCAGGAAGGTGAGAACTTCATCGAGCCCCGGAACATTGATTCTGGATCTGACCGTCCGTTCCCCCATGTGGGTTTCTCGAGCCGTCAGCGTCATGATGAGACGCCTTCAATAATTACCCCCTTATTAAACAAGGGGTAATTATGGGGGCAGTTGAGGAGGCCCGATAGGACATGGGCCGGATATGACTTGCAAACGCGGCATTGAGTCCGTACAGGTGGGTCAGGCCCATAAAAAGGTACTACCATATGGGCCGAACGCGCATAGGCCCATCAAAGAGGACCGGGACTCATGAAGGAACGGGCCTAGATCCAGCAGTCCATCGACATTTGTAAATCTCTATAAATAGGAGGAGTAAGGTAAAGAAAGGGGGATCTTTTTGGTTGAGATATAGGAATTCTAGAGAGAGAGTGGAAGAAGGAATTTCTTGTATCTTCAATTCTTGATCAATAGTTGTCTTACTAATAATATGATTGGATTCTGACAGGTATTGAGAGATCCCAGATGGGGAAGATGTTATGAGAGTTACAGTGAAGACACTGAAATTGTTAGAAAGATGACTTCCATGGTTACAGGCTTGCAGGGACAGCCACCCCATGGATACCCAAAAGACTACCCTTTTCTAGCTGGAAGGTAGAGAGAATCCATCCTTCTATATATTTCTATTTGTGCTGCTACCATGATTCAATTTATTGCATCTGTATTGTTTAAATAATTTAAAATTTTCATTATTAACTGTCTTTTCAAATCTAGTTATAACAGCAAACTAAACTAAGAAAGGCATACTGATTGGGGGAGAGAGAGGAAAAAAACTGATATCTAGATTTTAAAATTTTCAGCACTGTAGAATCGGGCTCCAACTACTACTTGCTGGAGCTTGCTTTTAGGCTGAAAATTAATTATGTGGCACTTTCTTTTATACATTGTTTGATGTTATCAGTATGAAATTTCATTTTCTATCTACCAGCTTTATATCCACTCCGTTTTACACTTATTCTCATGATCTGGCTCAGCATTTCTTCCCGATTTCTCTATTGGCAGTTAATGTTCTTATTTCAATTCATTATTTGCTCTGATTCACCTCTTTCATTCCAGAAACAATGTATTGGCATGTGCCAAGCATTTCGTTGGAGATGGGGGTACTGACAAAGGTACAAATGAGGGGGATACCATATCATCATACGATGATTTAGAGAGAGTCCATATGGCACCTTATCTAGACTGTATTGCTCAGGGAGTTTGCACTATTATGGCATCCTACTCTAGCTGGAATGGAAGCAAACTACACACCGACCATTTCCTTCTTACAGAAATTTTGAAAGGAAAGCTGGGATTTAAGGTAATCAGGATAAATTAGTATATTTTCAAAAAACTCTGAAATGATACTCTCTCTTTTTCTGGATTATGTTTGCTATTTATTTGGGCATAAATTTCAAATATAGAAATTAATTTGTCACAGTTAAGTTTTTTCCATTTTTCATTCTCTATTTATTTCTTTATTTTGTTAATATTATTTTTAGTGCATCTTAGATACAACTACACAGTCACCACACCATAGGCTGTAGCCTAGTGGTACTTCCTCACCTTCTAAAGTAGATGGTCAAGGGTTCAAGTCCCCAAAGGGGGAAGTGGGTGTGTGAGTTTCAACTATGAAAAAAGAGAGATATGACTACGAAGTCTACTATTGAACTTAGAACAAGATGGCTGAATTCCGGTTTTGTTTTGTCCTTATTTGTTTTTGATTGATCTACTAAGGCATTGTACTGCTGGTAAAAAACTATTTAGCTTATGGTTCGCTTATGATAATGTAATTGTTGTAACCCTAAAGTGCATTACAAATAGAAAAATCTCAGGCAACTTTCTGCTTCAGGGTTTTGTAATTTCTGATTCAGAAGCACTCGACCGACTTTCCCAGCCTCGTGGATCTAACTACCAGAACTGCATCCTGTCTGCTGTCAATGCTGGAATTGACATGGTAGAGACTAAACTCTTCGTTTAAAGCCCAAACTAGAAAGGTTCTTTCACATAATTCATGTCTCCTATTTTTCTTACTAAGAAAATTTGCAGGTGATGATACCTTATCGATATGAATTGTTTTTGGAGGATTTGTTGCATCTTGTGGAATCAGGGGAGATATCAATGGCCAGAATTGATGATGCTGTCGAACGAATCCTGAGAGTAAAATTTGTTGCTGGACTTTTTGAACATCCCCTGAGTGATAGATCTTTGCTAGATATGGTTGGCTGCAAGGTAACTTCCCATATTCAATATATTTCCTACCAGCTCCCCTCCATTTAAATTTTGCTCCATTCATTTTCGATTCCTTTAAATTGTCGTAACATCATCTTCAGTAGAAAAGATCAGAAATGTGCTACATGATGGACCATATTCATTTGGTTGACTGTGCAAAAGAACAGATTGATCACATGAGTTTCAAATGTGAATTTTAATTAAAATTTTAGAGTCATTTGAAATCCATTAAAAATAAGGAGCATCTAATTAGATGGCCAAAAATGGATTGTTACTTGGATTTTTGGTATAGCCGTTTGGCTCAATTGTATCCATCGAGTGGTAGATTCCGATAGTCTTTAGATACTGGAGTGGTAAAATTTGAAAGGAATCGATGAATTAAAGAAGTGAAATGTAATAGAGGAGAGCTGAACCCCTATGGATCTCATTTATACATTTTGGATCTGTTGTAATTAAAAGAAGGCTTCCAATTTAGGAATTTAAGAGTTGTAATTAAATTTTTACTTTTTCTCAAGACATTGAAATTTTATGTTAGCATCGTATGGTTTTTAAATTTGAATATAAAGTCCTTGTAGTTGTTAGAATGTTTTGTGTATAAGCAGATTAATTGATTTTTTTGTTTTGAATTTAAATTGTTCAGTTTTTTTGATATTTCTCATAATGCACGTTTCTGTTCCATATTTCCATCCATGTCAGCTTTAGTTTTTCCAGATTTAATTGCTGTTTATAATTTGTCATCACAGCAATGATTACTTTGTGTGTAACATTTTTCTTAGTAATCAAGATTCCCCTTTCTTCCTCGAATAGTAGAAGGTTTAAGAGAATTATGGGCAATTGTTATTCGGTGTTTGTGTATGCATTTGGTTGTGAGATCGATAACATTCCAAATTACGCTGGGGTAGCCACTTTCCTTCTTTTTGTCTATGTCCGTGCATGCTCAGTTTGTATCATCCTGACTTTACATGGAAAGTAGCAGCTTGCCTCTGTAGGCTTATTAGGACTACAAACTATTCTTCAAGTATCAGGAGGATATCTCTATGTATGTAAATGGAATTATCTTGGTCATTCCAATTCTTTTTTCATTTTTCCATTTCCTACTACAACATTACGAGCTGTGGTGGCCAGATCAGTGGCTGAAAATGTTAGTAGCAACAGCAGTAGGTCTCTGTTAATGCTTCCGTTGCATTAGCTTCGAATAAAAATGAAAAGATAGTCTATACATCACCATCAACTGCAATCTTATCTTCATCAAGAGCGGTGTTTGATCCTCTAACTGCATTTGGATTAATTTCTTTTCTTTTCTTTTTTTTTTTCCTTTTAAAAAGGAACCATTTAGTTAGGGCAATGGTTTGTTGACAACTATACTGGTGTATTGGCCTAATGGTAACTTGGGGACATGGAGGCATTTATGGAGTGACTGCCAGGAGTCAAATCCCAATGCCTATGAATAAATAAGTCAATGAAAATGTATTTTGGAAACTACTGGTAAGACCGTTGATTTTGGGGGTGTTTTGGTCATTGAAGCATACTTGAATACCACAAGAACAATCCCCCTGCGAATGCTAAAAACACATTAAACTATAGGCAGAAGGAATCCCAATATATATTGGGTTGTAGAATTAGTTCTTGTACTTGTTGTTTCCTTTATAAACTAGTAGTATATACTTGTCTGCTGAGTCATGTAGCATCCTTATATAATTGGTTAGTGCCTTTTTGGGAGATACTGTTATTAATTAATACCCAACTGGGGTTATGACTCTGAGATAAGTATTTTACTATCTGTATACTTCCTCAGCTGCATAGAGAACTAGCACGTGAGGCTGTTCGCAAGTCCTTAGTGCTGCTGAAGAATGGAAAGGATTCAAAGAAACCATTTCTTCCATTAGACAGGAATGCTAAAAGAATTCTCCTTACTGGAAGTCATGCTGATGATCTTGGATATCAGTGTGGAGGATGGACAGCTACTTGGCAGGGAACCAGTGGCAGAATTACGATTGGTATGTAATTATGTGACAATAGTGGCCGACATAGAATTAATATTGGAAATTTGTTAATTCTAAAAATAAAGTTACGATTCACCTGACATGGTTTCATTTGATGATGATGATGGTGATAAGGGTGTATACTGTCTTCATGCCCCCCAAACACACAAACACACGTTCCTATGTGCTGTGTAGTATAAGATTAGGGCTTGCATAATATTTTTCTGGTTTTGTGTAGTAGTGTACAAGCATATGACATGATTTATCTATGGAAATATGCATGCTTTTTGTCAAAGGATCTAAAACTGTCACTTGAGTATCTTAATTTCTTTCCACATCTGGAGAAACAGGCAGCAGGCAACATCATGCCTGCCCCCACTCTCTCTCTCTCCCTGCTCTCTCTGTTCCAGGATTGACTATTAGGCCCCTGCCAAACTCTCTTACTCGGGATCATTGTGATTCAGAGTTTTAACACAATAGTCATACTTGAACTCTGTTGGAACTTTGAAAATTTATTGGGGACAAACTTGTGTATTTGTATAGTTAGTTCATTATTGATGCTTGTTAACATATGACTCATGAGATCATTGACATTTTAGGAACCACCATTTTGGATGCTATTAAAGAAGCAGTTGGAGACAAAACAGAAGTTATATACGAGAAAAATCCATCACCAGACACCTTTGCAGGTCAAGATTTCACTTTTGCTATTGTAGCTGTGGGTGAAGCTCCATATGCTGAAACAGAGGGTGACAATTCGGAGCTTAAAATTCCCTTTAATGGAACTGAACTGATTAGCTCAGTTGCTGACAGAGTTCCCACATTGGTGATTTTGATCTCTGGAAGGCCCTTAGTTTTAGAGCCATGGCTCTTGGAAAAGATAGATGCTCTTGTTGCTGCTTGGTTGCCTGGCACCGAGGGAGGGGGAATTGCAGATGTTGTGTTTGGTGATTACGAGTTTAAAGGACTACTCCCAATGACATGGTTTAAAAGGGTCGAACAATTGCCAATGCATGCTGGGGAGAATACATATGACCCTCTATTTCCCCTTGGCTTTGGGTTGACAACCAACAAGAAGGTGTAGACAGAAGGTGCTACTAAACTGTTGAGTGTACTACAACCAAATTTGTTGTTATTTTCTTATGCCAAGTTGCCAACTAAGCTATGGTATGTTTCATGTAGTGTATATTGGGAGATATTTGCACATTGTATTTGGGATCTAAAAACATTATGCTATATAAATTCTCGGAATTTATTGTTACATTGTTGATGTTATTGTGCTTGCTTGGCGTTATCTTTGGGGGCCGTTGGCTTGTTAGGTTGCTGGTGAAATATACCCATTAAAGCCCCATTTTTTCATTGCTGTGAGCATGAATTTCAGGAAAGTTTTTCATCTTGAAGAACATTGAGTTCTTACCGCACTCGAGTCTCCAAGCCAGTTTGGCTAGAAGAGCTAGATTAAAGCTTGCCACATCTATTATACCCAGACATCCATTCACCCTAAAGTCACAAATCTTTTCCCAGCCAATCCATTTTGCCTTCCCACTGTCCTTTTGCAGCCCACAAGAATTGATCTGAGCAATACTTCCCTGCCAGCCACGGATAGGAAGAGCTCACCTTCTAAGGCTTGAATGTTGGCAGATAGATTATCCCCTGGGAACTTGAAAGAGGCCAGTTTGGATTTTCCCAGAATAGATGGTGAACCGAGATAACGGTTCTGCCAACCCTCTTCTGAGAAGTTGAGGATTCATTGAGGACCTGTGTTTGCACTGAAGAATAGGCTTGTTTTATCAGAGTTGAGCAGCTGATCTGTAATCTTTTCATATTCCTCTAAAATGAACTTAAATTGAGACACGTGGGAAGGAATAACCGTGCAAAATATATTGCATCATCAGCAAATAATAATGAGTAACTTGAGTTACTCTTCCACCAATTTTCACCCCATCTGTCAAATTTCTATGCATGGATTGTTGGAGGAGGAGAGAAAGCCCTTCAGTACACGAGGAATAGATAAGGAGAGAGAGGATCTCCCAGTCGAATGATGAGCCCGCCAGATTCCCAAACCAGAGTATGAAACTGTGCTTATACAGCTCATCAGTAAGATCATGCAGACCAAAGTGGGATATCATAGGTAATGGCCGGTTTTTGTAAATCAATTCACGTCTTCTCCAGCTCCCGGAGGTAGGGTGAATCAGATTCACTATGTCTTCGCTCCCCCAGTGGTTTTAAGTCTTAGCTATGTTCATCAGTCACTCTTTATATCTTTTCATGCTTGTTTATTTATTTATATTTTTTCTTCAATTTGGTTACACTCTTGAATTATTGACCTTCACTTATTACAATGCAATTCGAACAAAGAGAGTAAATGTCAGCTTGAAGCTGGTGGAAAAATTATTCAAACTCCAGGTTTTACTAAAAAGTTTTCATTTATGGAAGTAGATGAGTTTGTGGAGGATAATGAAATTAGGTTTTAGCCTCTTGCTGCTGACTTTGGTTGGCTTAACCTTATTCAAGATGTTTTAAAGTTGAACTATAATTTCTTACCCAAAAGTCCAAAACTAGTATGAGTTTGGGAAGAGACTTGAAAAGGGACTAGATGGCCTTTAACAGTTATAAATCATCAAAGCTCAAAATTAAACATACTAATTGTTAACTAAAAATATCTTTTGGAACTTCAATTATCAATATATGTATAAATACAATCAAACATATATCCCAAGAATAACCAAAACAAAGAATTTGGCTGCTTTTGTACAACTCTGAGCATCACATTTTGCTTGCCCAAAAGAACTCTGTTTATTAGCTGACTCCTTTTTATATTACCTTTTCATTTGCTTGCTTTCTTCCTGTCCTCGTTCTTTCTTCAACACAAAATACTATAGAGAAGTGTTGGTATGGAACCCTAATAATCTCTATCAACACTTGGGAAGGTCTATAGGAGGTGGTAGAATTGATTCGCCAGGGCCTTTGCCATTGTCCACGACGAATGCCATTTTCAGTCCCCATGTTGTGTGCACCTCTAAATGGCAATGCATGAACCAAACCCCTACAAACACACACAGAATTCCACAGATGTTACTATAACTTTTAAGTTTTTTCAAGCAACTCCAAATGCATAAGAAAGCTTGGTTTACCTGGATTATCTGCTCTGAATCTGATAGCAGTCCACCCACCAGAGGGGACTCCAACCGTGTTCCTCTCAACAGGGTCTACCAGATTGAACTTCTTCGGATCCTTCTTGGGATTGAAATTTCCTATTCCTTTTCCAACAACAAAGAAGTTGAAGCCGTGAAGATGGATAGGGTGGTTTTCGGGGGCTATCATTCCAGTGTCTTGTAAGACTAGTTGCACAGTAGAGTTGTAGGCAAGTCTATAAAGCCTTGTACCATTCATGGTTGCCATGTTTGTTGGCTGTGTGCCAGTGAAGTTAAATGTTATCGGTGGCTTTCCTGGGAAATCATCAGTGAAAACCCCGGGCATATTGAAGAAATGTGCTTGAAGAAGAGCGATTTTTGGCATTACAAAAGTGATATTATTAATATCAGCCACCACCCGGACACCACTAGCACAAGCAGCGCAAGGATTAACGCCAAGACTAATGGTGAAAAAAAGGGAATGGTCAATAGTTAATGGGACTTTGGCAGGGTACTTCTTCGAGTTTAGGCTTCTGAGGGAGTTTGTAAAGGTTGTTGCCACTGGAGTGGCATTTTTAGGAGGTGGGGCAGTGAGAGTGGTGGCAGTGGTAGTGAGGGTACCGGAATAATGTAATGTCGCGGTAGCAGTCATATTATCAACTGCAATTGGTGCATCCATGAAAGGCGATGCTGCAACCAAGTACTTCCCGCTTCCAAGATCAGCTGTCAGAAGGACATTTGTGGTCTGGCCGGGTGCTATAACAATGGTGTCAGTCTTGAAGGGTTTAACATAAGTGGCGTCAACCTCAACAACGGTGAGTTTATGGCCTGCAATCTTAAAGAAGAGCTCTTCATTGAGTGCAGCACTGATGATTCGCAACATGTATGTCTTGCTAGGATCCACTGGCAGATTGACCCCCCCTGTGCATGATAGAAGTTAAAAAGTCAATGAAATCTGTTACCAATTTTCATTTTTGTTCTAAGTTTTAGGAAATAAAACAAGGTGTCATAGTCAACTTGCATATTCAATGAGATTAACTATATTTTCCTTGGCTTTAAAGAAGTGCTTTCTACTTTGGAAAATAAAGAGGCCTAAATCTTCTTTTATTTTGCTTAAAGTTTTGGCCATGTAGGTCCTTACTCTGTGACAAGCAATTTGGGACTGGCCCTGGATGGCCATTGATGGTGTGAGCATCAGAAACATTTGGAGCCAACCCTGATTTCGTCGCCTCATTGATCACAGCTTCAACATCTGATTTCCACCATTCACCTACCAGTTGAACAACCAAATTAGAAAACGAGATTCCAATGATTCTTCTAGACAAGTTCAACTAAAACGATTCACTATGCTGTGCAGATATTATCCACTTTGCACACTATTCGTATTCAGGATTTTCAAAACTCGTCTACATAGTTAGGAGACATCCACACACACATATATATATAACAGTCTTGTGCTCACCTAGTATGATAACCACTTCTTTATGGGGTCTGGGAAAAGGGTATGGGACACCAAGCTTGGGCAAGATGACAAGAGCACCATGGACGGTAGCCCTGAGCCAAAGGATGTGAGCATGCCACCAGAGAGTGCCCCTTTGGCCGGTAATGGTGAAGTTATACACAAAGTTTTGGCCAGGCTGAATCGGGCACTGTGTAATATATGCCGGTCCATCTGCCCAACCCGTTCGCAGCTGTCTAATTCCATGCCTGCTCATTTTAGGAGGAAAAAAAAAAATTCAAAATCAACGAAAATAAGAAGCTAAATGTGTATTAGAACAAAAAGGTCACAGACATATCGACTCGACAATCAAATTGAGGGATTGTAGAGTAAAATTTCATTTTGCCTTTTTCGGAGAATTGGTGATCAAGCTCCGAAAAGTGTGTGATATACTTGATTCTAGGTGTTTTCTATGTAATGGTGAAGTCTGATCAAATGGTCCGGTTCTTTTTGTTTCACTAAGTTTATCGACACAGGATAAGGAGATTGTTTTTGTGACATCTCTGTTTGTAGTCTGGTAAAATTATACTATTATGATATGGAGGTTACGAGTTTAAAATCGAAAACAGTCTTTCTATACAGAAGTAACACTGTGTACATATTACCCTACCCTAATGAGACAGGAGCATTTTTTTTTTTTTTTCCTAATTGGTACTCACGCACACTTGCCTCCATTGTGGCTCAAACTCCTAACCTCCCTTTGAAAAGTAGGAGCCTGGTACCACTAGGCCACTGACCCGTTTAACGGAAGCATCTTAAAGTGTAAATTATAATAGCCCTTTAACCCCTCTTTCAAAGGATATATGTATACTGACCAGTGAACGCTGACGTTGTATTTGACATGGTTAACGACCTTCACAAGCACTGTATCATCTTCCCTGGCATAGATGGTTGGACCTGGGAAACGCCCATTCACTGTAACTATGGGCTTCCTTGAACATAACTTTGTAGCGTTTGCCATCACCACCTGTAAGTATGTTGGTCAGCAAATGTCACAACTCGTCAAATTTAATACTAAATATTTCTTCTTTTTTTCTGGAATTCTTAGTTTAGTTTAACTCCATTAATCAAGATTCAAGAGTTTAGGAGGGTTAGACCGGCTGAGTAGACCATAGATTAATTTCATTGGATTTTTATTTTTTATTTTTTATTTTTTTAGTAAGGTTTTTTTTGTTTGGATGTAAAATATTTTTAAAAAAATATATTTTTTAATTTTTTGATGTTTGGTTGTCTTAAAATATATACGAAGATAAAAATATAAAAACTTAATAAAAATAATTTACTCATTAATTTTTGACAAATTATTTTATCTTGATGGATTCAATCTTAACCCCGATTTAGACTTTTGCAAAATAAAGAAAATAAAAAATTAAAATAATATTTTACCATAAAAAGAAAAATCTTTTCCAAAGAAAAACAAACTGAGCCTAATGATATAGGGTTCTATTAATTTTTACATGAATAATGCTAATGTCATTATGATGGTATGAATATGAATGATATCATAATAACATCAACTCTAAATCATATAAATAAATCCGAATTGTTGGACTTTTAAATTTTTATTTTCATTTTTCATTTTTATGGAATGAAAAGAATCACAAAAAAGACGCAACCCAACTTGAAATTGGGCCGTCTCTGCAAAGACCAATTGATCGGTTTCCTTTGATTTCTTAATTTAATAAGAAAACTAAATTAATTGAAAAATAATGAACACTAACCACATGTACTTTTTTTATTCCGTAATGAGCAGTCGTCCGGAAAAAGACTTTCAGTTGATATGTCTATTCGAGAAACATTTCAATATTATATGGCTACACTTTTTTCTTTTTCTTTTTGGCAAAAATCAATGGGTTATCTTGCATCCAACGTAAAAGAAATAGTACAAAAATCCCAAATACAAGAATAATATTGTAAGTATAACAACAACAACAAATGTTTAAACGTGTGCATGAGCGTGCAAATATGAACAAGGAACTCCTCACAAGAGGAGAAAAAGACGTCCACCCCTTCAATGAAAGGCCAACTGTGGTGTTGTGTATGGAAGGGGCAAGGTAGTTTTTTACTTGTCATACATACATATATATATATATATATATATATTTCTATGTTCTTAATAGAACTTTAATTAATAGTGATTTGGTACATGCCAACAGCTTCAAGAAATTGCAATGGCGTAAGTTAGGTATGTTTGTTCAGGAAACATTTCTCAAAACTCTAAAAAACAAAAATTGTTTTCAAATAATTAATAAAAAATAATTTTTTGAAAACATGTTTTCATTTCAATTTAGTTTTTAGAAAAGTGTTTTTGAAAAATTGTCAATCCAACAAATTTTTATTGGTTGTTCTAAAAAAAAAAAAAAAAATGAGCTAAATAAGTTCTTACTTTTTAGTGTACCCGGGACGGGTATCGGTTTCAGAACATGACATCTTAAACTATGTTTAAATAATTAAATAAGAAATCAAAATGAAATGAAAGCAAAAAAACAGAAAGAGATGGAGTCGTTAATTCTAGAGGGAAAGAAAAGTAAAAGCAAGGATACGAAAGAATAATTTAATTTCTAAATATTGTTTTCTCTATCCTTTCAAAGGAAAAAAAAATATATGGACAGGAGAACTCGTTTTACTCTATATATATATTTTTTTAGAAAACGATTTTCAAATATACTTTGTTTTCTGAAAATTGATTTTTAAAGTCACGTTCTAACAAAATCACTTGTAACCTTTAGATGCATTAAAGTATATCTTTAACAAACTATATACTATTTAAAAAGAAAATTCAAACCGAAATGCATGAGAAAAGAAACGCTTGAATCTGCGTTCTAACTTCTAAATAGCATTGTATTGAACTTCTTACAAGGTGTTTATTGAACATTGCATGCCACTTACATTGAACTTGTAATGACGAACCCTACACTCCACCACCAATGGAAGCAGACAAGCCACCAGGACCAAGACGCGAATCCATGCCGCCATCTCTCTAAACTCTCTCTCTCTCTCTCTCTCTCTCTCTCTACAATATTCTTTGAACTTTCAGTACTCTGTACTTAGATGCAAGTGACAGACACAAGATGACCTTGTATATATAAGTAGTGAAGTGGTGGTCTCTGCTGCAATGTCGTTTTAATTTGTTAGGTGGGTGTGAACAATGGTAGAGAGGTAAGATCTACGTATAAATAAATTAAATTAAGAAACTGTTGGTTTCTTTCTTGTGAATTACATAAAGTAGTTATATATATGAAACTAATGTGGATCGTATATAATTTTTAAAGCTAAGTTATATATATGAACTATAGCTAGCTTTTGGTACCACGTACCTTAAACTGACTAGGTCGTTGGTCAGGAATTGGGTTGGTCCAACCACAATGGTTTGGTTACAAATAAAACCCCAGCTAACATGACCAAACAAACCCCAACTTTTCCAGACAAATAGTGAAACAGGACCAACTAATTTTCACTTCGCTTTGCTTTTATATATGTGTGTGTGTGTGTGTGTAATGTGAGTGGTTAATGAGTTCAATTGATACATTCTAATTAAAACTTAAAGAAGCAGTTGGATGTAACAGAAAGCTCCACTTAAGTAGTGTAGATACTTTAGTCCCTCATAGCAAAGTTGGTAAGCAAATCCAACTTTGCAAATGAAAAAGTTCTTACTTAACTTTAACCAGAGGTAGTAGTAGATAAACTGTTTTATAACTTTTACACCATTTATTTTTTTTTCATAAACTTGGAATTTTTGAAGAGGTTGCTTAACTTATTTCACGTAGTATGCTGCTCTAAAAGTACTTAAAGCTATGTTTGACGGTGCTGAAACAATGCATGCATTGGATTTGGAATTGGAGTTTGATCAAAATTTCCATTTGGTTAGAGCATTGGAAAAATGAATGAAATGGAGATAAGGAGGAAGAAATGAGATATCCTAAGGAAAGGAATGTACGTGCATGTTTACTATCTTTTTGTTTGGTTAAATATAAAATGATAGATGTGATGACACAAAATTTTCTTTTATTTGGTTGAAAAGATAAAATGACGAGTTTGTATATATAATTTTACCAATATACCCTTATTATAAGTGTATGAACGAGCTCCGGACAGTAGGGGCTTTGTCCTGACTAATTCACGGGACCCATGCAAGGCTCCTCACACACGAATCGGGTAAAGCTCGGAAAATATCCACCGACGTGACCTTAAGGAATTGTTTGTACATAGGACGAATCAATCCTAAGACTTGATATTTTGTGAGGTATCAAAGTCCAAGTCTTTTCCAACTAGACCAACTCCCTTGAGGTTATAAAGATTAAAATTGGTATTACATATTTGTAGAGTATTTTTTCTTTCATTCTCTCTCTCTTCCATTCAATTTTGAAGGGATAAAAAATCTTTAAAAAAACATGAGCCAGGAGAGATGCGTAGCTTCCTCCCGCTCTTCCCTTTCTCGAACCAAACAAGAAAAGTTTCTTCTATATATATTTCTTTCCTCGATCCTTCCCTTCTAACCAAACGTAATATAAGTGTAGCAAAAATTTTCATCGTCAATGAATCAAGTCAACACATGCAACAATTAAATTTGATAATTATGGTAAAAGATTTGAACTATATACCTTACCCTTTTAAAATATCCACAACTATGTAGTTAAAATACATAATGATTACGACTATTTAAGGCCGGCCCAATCATTTCAAGGGTCATCAATGATTATCATAAAAGTACTCGATTAAGAAGGTTTAGACAAGTAATTAAGTAAGCCATTTTAATCTGTTGAATAAGTAATTACATGCTAATATAAATATGATGCGTAATTAATTTAAACGGGACAATTGTTGCTTTGCTTAATTTATTGATGTAAGCTGTATTTAGCATGGTAATGACCACACATGTTCTTTTCCATCGAGAAGAGTATAAGTTGATGATGTGGGGTACATGACATGGTTGAGATGTTAACCCAACAAAGATTTGCAGTTGAGGAATGCCTTTCACTGATTCAACAAGTTTCATGTCTAAAAGCACAAGGTGGTCACCAACTCATCATCAAACCCCTCATTAGCTAATCCTATATATATACGGACAATCACGGAATCTGAGTTAATTAATCCATAATTAAGTTGGTGATACAAGATCTAAAAGTGGGGGACATTCAATTGAATTTAGGAGTGGCAATTTCCTCCCCCGTGTCCTTAATGGGACAAATTTAATAAGCTCCTAATAAAAACCGTCTTGGGTTCAGGATTGGTGGATTTAATGTTTAACCCGCCCGCTCGCCCTGAAACCGATTATATATATGTATATATAATTTTTAATTTTATTATTTTATTATTTTTATATTAGAGGTGTTTATTTGTTCATTGTTTCATATTTTTGCATGTAGAGGTATTGATTTTTATTTTCTGTTGCAAATTTTACTTTTAATTGTATTAATAACTTACTCATCTCTATTTATTTACCATAACTTAATTTATTGTATTAAATTAAACTGAGAAAGTGAGGGCGAAGTCAATAATCCGTTTGTCGCGAGATGGGTATATGAATAAAAAAACTGTCTAGAAGTAAGGTTTAACTAACTCCATTCCAAATCCATCATATATCATCCCTACCCAACTGATTTTATAAGAATAAAAAATAATATAATTGTGACATTATTATAATAAATGATACGTTATTTTTACTTACGTAAAAACGGTCGAATGTATTCAATTACGCCATGTTTTTTTCCTTTCATCTATTAGTTAGAAAATCTATTCATTTGAATGCATCTTCTCCAAATTTCTGACTACAACATGAAACCAAGTCGTTGAAACATAGTATTCACGTGCCCTATTAAAGTGCATTAGGACATTCATTACACAATACTTATATTAATATCTATAAACGTAATTTGCACAAGTCGACCGTTTTCAATATTTTAACGTGTGACCTACAGACCTAGTGCTTGTAAACTGATGCACCATTTCAAAAAACAAAAATCAACATAAAAATCAATCATGGAACAAACTCTCCAACCAAACATAGTTGAAAATTTGTGTTTAGTTGTGATACCATAAAATATAAAATATAGAACACCATCTCAGGCTCATTGTGGATACCACAAAATATAAAATATAAAATCAAGATCCTATATATATAAAACTCTCAATCTAAGTTCAAACCCAACCGACAAACCCGGACTAGTCAAGTTGTGTTCGGATGATCAAATTAAGCTTTGAGTTATTAGTATTTTAATGTTAGTATGATAATTTAAATAGGATTCTGGTTGAGTTCACGTTTTAGTTAATGTGGATTTTAATATTATTATTATTATTATTTTTTGGTAAATACACTAGTTTCACCAACAAAGTCAGCCGGGGAAGGCTTATCCGATTTTAATATTATTTTATAACACTTTAAAAAGAAAAATGTACAAACTTGTTTAATAAATGGATGGTATGACATCTAACCCAATATATACAATCCATTTAATAATACAAAATACCAAAAAAAAAAAAAATAAGAGTATTAAATTAAAAATGATGAAATTGAATAAATTTTTTTATTTTATATCAACAAATCACACAATTAATTTAGAATTTTTAATATGATATCATGTTATTTTTAATATTTTACTATAGTCATGACTGATTCAAGTTAATATGATATAATTAATTAAAGGGATCAAATCAGATCAAATTTATTAAGCATTGTTTATACGAGTGAGTGAGATTGACACGAATACCATACCAATTTGAGTAATATAATTCCAATTTTTTTTTATTATTATTAAAGTAGTAGGAATATATAGACTAATGGTAGTGAGGATTTTTTTTTAAAGAAATTTAAGCAACTGATATATATAAAAAAGAGATACAGGGAGGGCCTTAGGCCAAAACAAGCCCAAAGAGGCAGCAAAACAAGCCCAAGAAGGGACAGCCCAAAAAAGGAAATAAAGCCCAAACAATAATAACCGCCATTAGCGGTAGAGTGGCCATTAATGGAAAAACAAATCCGGTGGATGACAGTAGAGATCCCGCGCCATGACCGGTGAGAATCAACAATTGAAGAACAAATATTCATGAGATTCTGGTTGAGCACGAGCACACAGATGTTCTCATGTTGCACCAAGCAATGAATCACCTGCAACCAACAACCAAGTACTGATGATGTTCTTTGTAGTCCAAATTCAATCAAAACTATATTTATTGGTAATGATTTTTCTTCATACATATAACATATTGAATTCTTATGCTTCATTTTGCTTCACTGGATAGTTTTGATTATTTGCGCCAAAAAAAAAAAAAAAAAAAAAAAAAAAAAAAAAAAGTTTTAATTGGCCCATACATATTAGGGTAGCAGATGCCTCGATATCTTAGTGGATTAGTATCTCCGGTAGACTTTAGAGTGTCAGGTTTCGACTCTATATATAATATAACTTCTAACAATTCTTGCCTTGTTAATATATTTATACTATTATTAAATGTGTTTCAGTATTTGAGTATTTATTTATTATTTATCAATTGATATAAAAAGAATAGTTATTTTTTATGGATAATTATCACAATATAAACGGCCCTATTATGTCATTATAAGGAGAGAACACATGTCATCATCCTATTAATCCAAGAAGCCTATAAATAGAGGCATGGAAAATGAGGAAGGGATACAGTAATTGAGAATTCTAGAAATCCAGAATTACAGAGTAAAATACAGAAGTTTTGCCAAAGAGTTTTAGTATTTATTTATTTATATAAAAATATATTTATTAATTGAGATAAAAAATGTTTTTATCACAATATAATCAGCCCGGCCCAGTTAGAGGCATGGAATGGGTACAGAAATTGAGAATTTTAGAAATTCAGAATTTCAGAGTAAAATACAGAAGCTCTACCAAAAAGTTTTAGTATTTATTTATTTATATATATAAAATATTTATTAATTGATGATATGAAAAGAGATTTTATAAAAAACAAAAACAAAAACAAAAAAAAAACTCAATAAAACTAAAATCTAACTAATAAAATTTAAATTAAACTATTTATATATTTATTATTATGAATTTTTTAATAAAA